GTTGTTCTTTGGTACTAGCACCCAAGAGATCTATGTCGAATTTAGATTCAATGAAAAAGATCTCAGTTCCAGAACCTGCAGAATGGAGTAGAGAATCTACCAACATTAGATGTCAAAGCTATCTGTCACTTACAATCAAGCATGTTAAAACAAATGAATTACCATGTTGTCTGTTTTGAGATTATATCTTGGCAGGGAACATTTATGATGACATCAACTACGCTAACATCCCACTTCACTTTTTTATAACTTGCTAAAATATACCTGCGAAAGATAAATGTACAAGAGACTGCAATGTGTTTCAAATGATTCATCTTGCATCATGCAGTTAACCTTTTAAACAAATTAGAAGATTTAAAGTTCAAAATCACTCACTCAGCTTTAGCAAACAATCGTGCCTTAACATCCTCAAATCCGTTTAGTGATGACAATACCTGCCTTAGGAAAGTAACTTTTAGTATTCAACAGTCTCCAAACCCTATTCTTGCATGATCTCTAGAAAAAAAAATGAAATCAAGGACTTCAATCTATCTTTAAAACTTCAATAGGTTATGTATGAAAACAGTCAGAATCCATATGATTATTGATAAAATCTTTGGTAGAGAAGTCTTAGCTATTTGCATGAAATTTGTGCCAAAACCTAAATTAGTACTTAACCACAACTTGAACCCTTATCCTTTAGGTAGCATTTGATAAAATGGAAATAGTAGGAGTAGATAAAATGATAGGATCTGCAATATACTTTTTTTCCATTACTTTTCATGTAGCTTTTCATTTCCCTCATAGTTCTGCATGATAGAAATATGTCTTATAATGTTGGTCTAATTATCTTCTTTAAAGGGAAAGTTGATCAGCAACTTGAAAAAATAAAAATTTTACTATTAATATTCTCCACCAGCTCAACAAAAAGATAGAAGACTTATTCTCAACCTTCTTATTCCGTTTTCCTGTCGATAGGCTGTTACTGAGCCAGACCTTACAGTTCTCAAGACGCTACAAGAACTAAGGACAACCATCGAGAAACAAAGAACCTTCATCGAGAATAGAAGCTTTACCCTTTCTTGATGAAACTTGAAGGATTTGAAAACAGCGAAAAATTCAATGAACCGAAGAAAGAAGTCCAAATTGCATGCAACCTCAAGTGGTTCAACCCTAACCTGAATACACAGTTTATTAACCAGGTAAGACAGATAGAAAGAGTCCAGATAAAGAGACACCAAAATGAAGCATTTAAGTACTAGGCAATCACCAAAATAGTGAAGCTATGGCACACTGAAAGTACCTTCACTGATAATTCAACATATTGCTTTGGGTTTATGTCCACTTGGACTCGACATGATGGCCCACTTTCAAGCATCCTTCGTCCTGTACAACACTGCAGGCAAACATTGTGAACCAGGAGTTGTCAAATTTTTTAAATGAAAAGGTTCTAAATGTTGCTAACATAATAAACTTTTCTGGGAGAGATTAAAATAATCAAAATCAAACTTAAAAGGAAATGGGGGTACAACATGGCATCATGACCAAGTTAGTGAAGGATAAAGAAAACCGCAATAGAATGGACATTGTTTGGTGGCAAAATCCTACTAGAGACAAAATCTATAAAAAATTGTTTTTGGCGAACCAACCCCAAATTGGTGCTGCCCTACTTTGGCAATATCTTTTCTGGTGGTGCAATCACCATCAGACAAGTCATGTGCTCACATGGAACCGACTCTGTTTTCCTACCATCAATTTGAACATTATTTCAATTGGCTTGTGTCCATTAGCCATGACATGAGTCTTCACCAGATTAAAATAAGGACCCCAATCTTGATGGTTTTTCTATCACATTTCTACAAAAGGTTGGGATATCATCAAAAGGGATGTGCTCAAAATCTTTGATGGGTATATCTTCACGATCCAAGTTAATGTGGGCTTGTTAAAGTGTTTAAGTCCTCCAGGGGCCTCAGACAGCATAATCTCCTCTAAAACCTTGCTCTTCATCTTAGTCATAGAGACCTTTAACAGAATGATTCACAGTCCCAAACCCTTCATTCCTCTTTTATTGAAAAAGGAATACTAATAGAGATTAAAAAACAAAGAACAGAAGATTAGGAATTCCCCCAAAAGGGAAAATAGAAACAATTAGATAGTCGGTTTATATATACTCCATGTCTCTTTTCTTTTTATAAAAAGAAGAAATTTCATTAAGGAAGTGCGTAAGACAACCTCCTCAACATAGAAACAAAAGTAAAAGGCTCAAAGTTGCTACACAAATATCTGAATTTCTATTCCCTATGAATGCCAGTGTCCCCAGTTACAGTCAAGCTCTTGCAGGCCAATGGTCAGGAAGTGTCCGTGCACTTTTGCCCGTAAGGAACCAATGAAAATTATCTTCTCCCTTAACTCATATGATGACATTGATTGCTCATGAAAGATCCAACTATCCCTTTATAGCTAAATACACCAAAAACCTACAAAAATGGCCCCTTACCCAATGCTTTTGTCTCTTCTCTCACCGCAACCCCTAGATACAGGAATTTATAAAACTGTCTACTGGATGAGGCACCGCCCAACTTAGGCCAAACAAATTCATCAGATTGAGCCACATCTTCCGGGCTATTTTGCAGCGCAAGTAGGAATTGGTGTCTCATTCTTTGAAGCACATAACATGCACATCTGGAGACAAGTACGGTGACTGTGACGAATTTGAAACAACTCATTGGTATTGAGCCTCTGATTGATACCAGTCTATGCAATCTTAGTTGTACCTTCAAAGCCAACTAGTTGATATTCCAACAGAAGGATTGCATAGAGCTTGATTCTAAGTTACCTTTAGAAAGACAAGAATGAATGACATCCCTTGACCAACTTATGGGATTGGGGGGTGGGGGGTGGGGCGTAGGGGGGGTAGGGGAGGGGCGGCATGGAAAGAAGCAGATAATTTTTCTATACCAGGAAACTGTAAAGTAGTTGTATTGATTGTATATAAGATTTAATAGGAGAAATTATGTATCCCCAATTTGTGGGCATTTATTATCTGTGATGTTTGGGGACTTAGACTTGATTAATTTCCGTATTTGTACCTTCACATCTATATGAATTCTTGTATAAAGCTTTATAGGCAAGTGAGAGAAAATCAAATGAGAAAGAGTTAGATGGAGGGTTTAAAGCAAGAAGAGGGGGATCAAATAGAATAACCTAATTACCACCTAGATAATTCAGCTACAACAAGATCTTGTATAGAGGCACTTTGTTGGCCATGGTTTTGTACGAGATTTAAACTGGTCAGAGTGACCTTCGTTGTTGTCCCCACCTTGACTGTCGAAGCATGGTTTGGTTATAACTCCCTACACTATCCTTGTTCTGCCTTCTGATTCCTCCACAAAACTATCTAACACGCTAATCATGTCTCTCAACTCCGAGCCACCTCCTCTTGCTGACATACAAATAGGAGAAGTCGCTCTGACAAGCGATTAATACCTGAGCATCTCCTAATATAAAAGCTACTACAAGCAAGATCTAATTACCAAATCACACCTTATTTACATAATCAATTGTGCACAGATATAAAGAAGAAAGCCCTGATCATGGTGATATGATCTAGTCTGCCCTCTTCTCTCCATTTGACTGAAATTTACACAATATTTGTTTACAATGGTAGTATTTGTTGTTTATCCAACATCAACTAACAAAGGCCCATTGCTCGTTTTTCTTTTCTGACAAGAGAATTAAGATGATCAACCTATTGCAATTTCACTGACTATTTACATAGAACTTCTTTTATAGAAAACTAGAACAAATAGTTGGTATGAGGGATCAACTTTGGCAACATAATTTCCCTCTATTATTTTATCTATCAGCTAGACATAATACCCCATGTTATGCTGCAAATCCACTGGCCTCACCAAACTCTATCTTCAAACATCAATGTCATGTCCTTCACTAGTGGAGAGACACACTCCCACATATTGCTCAACTGTTAAACAGTCTGGAACCTCTAGACCAAGTTGATTCACATGTTTGGGTTTAGAGCCGCGTCTCCGACACCGGAAAGCTTCTTGAAGACAGGTATGCACCATCTCAGGAGTTGTTGAATAAAACTACCTTTCTAGCCAAGTTATGGGCCAAGGCACAAAAAATTACTGACATCAAATTTCTTTAAAAAGGGATACTATCATTTCCATTCTATAGGATAGAAGCATTTTTCAATTTCCCTAATCTTTTTCTAATTTTCAAGGAGCATGTCTGATCCTCTGACTTTGTTAATTTTTTGTCTCTCATATTAGGAAAGCTTATATTTCTATCAAAACAAAAAAGATATTATTAGAAATAGAAGAACAATATCTCTCCTCATAAAAAGAGAAAAAAACAGCAAAAATAGAAGTTACAACATAAAAAGGATCCTTAATGTAATAAAATAGACCTTGAAAACAGATTACAGAGTAACTTAAGCTTTGTTCAACTAGAACAATAAGATATAAAAAGAATTTGATTGGAATACAAACCCCTTGCAAGTTTGACAATGTCTTTTCCATCACGTGGATAAACCATCTTTCCAGAATTAACAATGACATCAATTGTGGCTGATTCTTCCCAAATCTTACATTCAATAATTCCTCCCGAAAGATCGACTAGCAATTTCTTGACAAGAATACCTAAAAAATAAATAAATATTACTAATAATTTTCCAAGAAAACCAAAGACTATCATTCACAATTCACCACCGATGTCCCAATGTATAAAGAATTTAACCGTAGAAGACAAAATATCGAAAAAGTAAACAAGATATTGTCCATCTTGAAAGGAATGACATTTTTAGGTTAATTTATCATTTAAGAAAACAAAATTTTTCATTATTTTAAAGGAAAAGAGAAATTGAAAATGAATGAAGCAATAAATTTAACCAATAAAAGGAATATTTTTGAGAAAAATATTGTAAATACCTATTTATATCCCACATGTTTTTTTTCTTTAGGTAGGTTCACCATTTCCCACGTTTGATTTTTTTCTAGTGCCTGTATATTCAATATTTATAGTATTTTTTCATTTTTAACAAGTTAATACCTTAGATAAAGTGTTAGAAATAAACTCAAAACTTGAACTTGTAAAGAAATTTTATAAGTAAGCACTTCTTAGATGATACAAACTGTGCAATAAGATAAAGATGACGTTTAGTGCATTCTTTAATTCTTTTAGGAAGTACAATAGATATATTATTATCAAACTGTATATTTTTTCCAAGACTTACGTTAGGATGCTTAGACCAGCATAGACTGAAAACACGAATTCTTCATCCCTGTATACACCTGAGTGAACATGGAGTCTCGTATTATCTTTTGAGTGGGTGAGTTTTTTAGAGGGTTTTGAATGCTTTCTTGTGGTGATGATGTTGGAATTTGTGGCAAAAGTTGTAGGGTAAAGTCTCTTAAGAACTTTCTACCCTTATCCCTTAACATAAGCTCCATTAATAATAAAGTTTTTGACATCTATAGACACAAAATTTTTTGTGAGTGAATACTAACATTTGCACCCTCTTTGAGAAGAATAGTACCCCATAAGCACACATTTCAAGGTCCAAAGGTCAAGTTTTCCTCTTATATGGAAATAGATATGAATAAAGGCAATAACCCTAAATATCCAAAGGACCAGATGGTTTATGACACTCTTCTAGATATAACTTGACGGCCTTTAAAGTTTAGAATGCTAGAGGACAAGCAATTAAACTCTAGTGGCAGCTAAAAGGTGATTATTTTTGCAGTTCGCTGCTCTGTTTTATTGTGAAGCGTGGAGACAAGATGATTCATGGAGAATTCCTTCTTGGTGGAAAAATGATGATAGTATGTGATTGAAAAAGTCCTTAGCATTGCCCATTCAGTATCTTTTCATGTGGGTTCCAGATTGGCTTTTATTATGTTGCAAAACTGAGAAATGATATTAACTAACATTGGATTTGGTTTTGCATAAGAAAAGTTAGGGTAGATCTAGTGCAATCATCAATGAATGACATAAACCATCAAACCCCAAAATATCAGGTGTGGAGATTGGTCTCCAAATATTACTATGAAATAATAAAAAGGGAACTAAACTCCTTTTATTGCTAAATTTGAAATGTTATACACCCATGTTTTGCAAACTATTATATATCACAACATAAAATTTGATATTCTAAATTTTTAAATAATAAGAGAAACATAAGCCTTAAGATTTTCTCAATAGGTATCCAAGTCTTTTATAGTACAGCCAAAACTTGTGTGTAGAATTAGTAATAACAGCAGAGAAGGATCCCTAGATACATCCAAGTTATAGAGCTCGTTTCCAACGTCAGCACGTTCACTCAACTTTCTCGAATTCCAGTCCTAAAAGTCATAATGAGAAGGTCTAAAAGTTATTTTGCAATTCAAGTTTTGTGGTAATTTATTAACCAACAAAAGACTAGTACATAGTTTGGATATATGTAACACATTTTCTAAGACCAGAGTGAGACTAAACTTAATATTGCTATTATCCACAATAGTATTGAGAGAACCATCTGCAATTACATTTTTCTTATCACTTGAATAGAGAATATAAACATCAACATGTTAGAAGTATTGGTCATATTATTGGTGGCTCTTGAGTCTATTATCTAAAAATTTTCAAATGGTTTATTTCAGACATAAAACTATCTAAAAAAGAAAGTATATCTAAGCAATCTATTACACTTGTACCTGTAGGTTTCTCAATATCCATCAATTAAATGAAAGATTACATGAAGAATTTTACCAGGAAGTTGCGCGGTTGCGTGCATACGGCTGAAGGAGTAGCTGGGAAAGCTCTCAACTTGTGGCTGGGAGTGTTTTTGCTAGGAAAGCTAGCAATGTTTCTGAGAGCCGTTGCAAAGCCCAGATAGGAAGATCGCTGAGACTAGGCACGATAGGATGCAAGAAGGGTGTCGCGGCTTGCAGCTCTGTGTGCATAGAAATTGGAGCAAAACAAATAAAGAAATCTGGACACGGCTGAGGCAGAAGGTTGTGCAGTTGATAGCAGCATGCAGAGGAGCAGAGTAGCTGGTCTATGTGGTTGGTGCGGAGGACCTACGTCCCATGGAGCAACCACATATGGGCAACAGGTGTAGAGTCTATACAGCTGAGAAGCAGGGTCAACACGCACAGGAGGAGCCTCAATTGGGTTGCTGGTGCTGACGATGATTAACGCCAATCTCGGCGATAGATGACCGGCAACTAGTGCTAACTAGCGAATGGACTATGATGACCAACTATGAAGGTTAGCTCCCTATTAAGAGTTTTTCTTGTTTCAGCAATTAAGACCAAATAGGATTTGTAAAAGAGTGTAACTCTTTTTAACCTATATTGATTATAATTAATTATATAAGGTGTACTTCACCCTTATATCCTTTATTTACACTTTCTTTAACAAGTAGCTTAATGTTTCAGAATATTATTAAGGTGAAAATGGAAAGCATCTATTCACCAACTTGAGATAGAGCACGAGAGAATTGAATAATCTGGTTTAAACATCTTTCCCTTTTTGTAACAAGTTGTATCCCTAGGTTTAGGTTTATTTAATTAGATGTTTGTAATTAAGTTTCCCGTAAATCATGAGACCCCAAAATAATTAAGTTTTCTTTTCTATGTAGCGAGGGTGATAATATGTATATGTGTACCTTTATGTAATTATTCAATAAGAAGAAATGCATTTTTCTCCACAATTCTAGAGGAAAACCCCTTTATATCCATTTCGCAAAGAGATTGAAAGGAATTTTGAGTCCACAATGGTTTTCCTTTTTGTTGCCTTATTAGGAAGATATCTCGTCTTCCTACGATGTAAGTTCTTCTCTTCCCCCTTCCTACTGATATTTCTTCTCCATTCAATAAAACCCCAACAGCTAGAAGTGAGAGTAAATGACTTAATGTTCTCGTTTATAAAATATTCTAGCATATCCCATCAACTATAATTGAAGAGGTCCAAATTGAGGGTTCAATTCGTCCTACTTAAAGCACCTAGGTACAAAGAATCACCAGAGAATCAAAACTGAAGAAAGAATTAAAATAATCCAGAGAAATAATTAAAACTGCTTCAAAGGATACAATAATCTAAAAAAGAAACCAGAAGATACTTGAAACAGCTGCCAACTTCAATGACAGCATCATAAAGTTGATGAAGTATGACAAAAATTTGAATTTATTTTGAAAAGAATGTAACAGTTATATTATGATCCAACCAAAGATCAAGAAAAAGAAAAAGATTTGTCATCACAAAGGACTACAAAAACTCACAGCTGTATTACAAAAATTTTCTCCATTTTCTTAATCAACCCATTTACAAGAAACTCATATCCTAAAAATGCACAGTAATTCTTCCAGTTATAACTCACCATAGTACGTATTTTAAGTTTCCAAGAAAATTTAGTTTACTTAGATAAATCTGAAAATTTGTAATCCAGGAATTTTTTTTTTCTTTTTGGCAGATAAGCAGATTTATACATTTTCAGGAAATAGTTTGGAAGAATAGCTACCGTACATGCTGTACATTCTTGCAGAAATTTCAAGGATGTTGAATTTGATTGCACATGTATAAATCTTGTCATTTACGTCAGAATCCTGAGCCGAAACAGCTTGAGGATGAAATTCTGTTGCTTCATATATATCCTGTATAAAAAAAAAGCTCATAAATTTTCCCAATAACAGCATCTCCATCTATTCTATTCCCTAGTATCCCCTGATGAGAGATATTCTACCTTGACAACTTCATCAGAGACAACACCAGAAAACTGACTAGAATCATCTGTTCCCCCAGCACCAAGCATGCCGCGAGATAGCCAGTTCAACCATCCACGAGAGCTACCTGATGAATGTTCATCATTCCGTAGCTTTTTGACAGATATATTGGTCTCATTTACTTCCATATTTGCGGTTGAAGACTTTGTCAAAACTTCCTACAAGATCAGATTATCAATCTACATATGCCAGCCGGCATAAGAAAATATCCGCACTTTATGCAAAATGCACATATAATCATTAACATCCATATCTATATATATTCATACCTGAAGCTCACACTCTGCAGCAGACCTGCAACTCAAGATATCATCAATATCTGAGTCTTTCTCCATTTGCTCCAATTCCCAAAGGATAGATTCATCAATTGGCTGAAACATAAAAGACAAAAACCAAAACAAGATAAAAAATAGGACCTCATGTCACATTTTTAAAAATTGTTTTCTAAGTCACAAAGATCAAGGTTTCACACCCAAACATCAGTGAATATAATTTGCCATTCCAGCAAAATTAGATACAAAATAGCATACTCTTGTTCCTGGTAAGTAACTTTTCTGCTCTCCCCCGTTGGTTGTGAAAATTCATAGTTGTTCATATCAATAATAAGAAAAAGAGAAAGCCTAACTTTAAATTTGAACCAACATGGAACGGTTTATAAGTTTCACGGACAATTTGATAAAGTTCCTTGTTATTGAACAATTGTTGAAAAGAAAGAAGAATATGATTACACGACTTTGCAGCCTTTTTACAAAAGTAACAACCATTCATCATAACTTTGCCTCTTGTCATCAGTTTGTCAATCGTCAATATGCATTCTCCACCAGTCTCCCAAAAACAAAAACAAAAAGAAAAACCTTGGAGGCTCCTTCATTTTTCAAATCTGATAAATCAGGAACCTGATAACCCTTCCTAACTCGCTTCCCAGCATATAATTATAATAGGACTTAAAAGTGAACTTCCCATTTTGTTTCAGCTTCCAAGAAATCTAGTCCCTGTTTCTGTTAACATGCACCATAGATAAAAGAAGTCGACTGTTTGATACTCTTCAATTTCTCAATCATTAAGATTGTTGTTCACGTTCATAATCCACTCCCTGTTACCATTACAATCAATCTGATACCACATTGTATAGGATTAGGAAGGAAGATATTGATGGATCGACCAAAATTTCAGGAGGGCATTAGTTGGAAATTAGATAAGGGGAATAGAACCTGGTTTTGCTTGGATGAGTGGGTGGATCGGGGAAGACTTAAGAGGCAGTTCCCGAGGATCTGCTTTTTTTTTGTTAACCTCAATTCCCCAGTTAAGATAGCATTTCCGAAATGATTGATTGCAATCCCCTCTTAATTACTCTCAACAATTTCAGAGAAGGGAATTGAAAAACCATAAGGGCCAAGTGCTTTCTTAGTCACCAAGTCCCAAAGAACCCTTCTGCTCTTCTCGTCCCCAAAAGCTCACTCTAATCACTCATAAGATTCCTAAACTAGAGTATGAAACTATTGCTCTTTTCAAAGTCGTGAGTATTCTTTCATGCTTAGAAACTATATTATAAACACTGGAAGCATTTTTGAAATATACAACCACTAGAAGTACTATTTCATGCTTCCTTTTACAAGAGATCCTCTCTTCTAAAACAATCTTCCATTAGTTATCATGTATTTCCTCCACGGATTCTTGACTCAACAAGGCTTTAAAAAGAGGTTTCATCTTGAACAAACCATTTTCCTAAGGCATATCTTAATTCCACTTTCAAAATCATACTTTATCACATTCTCTTCTCATCCAAGGCCTCCACAACTTGTACCTCCCAATCATTCCGGTTACATGGACCATAAACAATTTGATTAACATTGAAAAAAAAATAAAACACTAACAATAATTCCCTTGTTACAAGCGAAAAAATTTACAAAAAGTTAAAAAGAATTCATTCATAAATCATCAACATGACACCATCTATATACAAATGCAATTACATGAAAGTATTGGACAAATGACAATCAAGTCCTCTGGATTTGATAGAAAACTGGCAGAAATAGACAATTACCAGTTCCTGTTGAAGAAAGTCGAGTTTCACCTTGTACAAGGTAACATACTTCCGACGCTTACTCCTGCAATTAGGAAAACATAAAAAGAACAAAAAGTTTATATAAAGAAAGATAAGTATTGAAACACTATAATAAAACTTGATAAAATTAACAGTTTGTTAGTTATTTTTTTTAAATAAAAGATGAAAGTATTATTATTCACAAAGGTATTAAGGGAGTACCACCCAATTACAATAGTTTGTTAGTTATGAATGTATGTATAATTTATGGTGGATTTTTATTTTTATGTTGGACCACCGGTGTTATGTGGGAAGAAAATTCTTGTAAATTTAAGAATGCTTTCATATATTACTAATTGTACGGACAGAAATAGAGGACAATTTATTGTCTTTTGATTTCTTCTAATTTTATTTTAGCACTCCCTGATCCTAGTGAAGAGCTTGGCCCAAACCAGTCATAATACAGCAAAACAAATCTTCTGTTTCAATAAACTAAGTGGGAGATTATCAATAATGTACTCGTTAGAAGCACGTTGAAGGCCAAGTATATAGATTTGGTGTCAAGTCCATTTCCTGGGACTTCTAAATGTTTACTTGTAATGTAGGTAACTGTGTGTATGGTGGATTTTGGGGATGTCAATTTAACTTTTTGTCATGCTGAGCATCAAGGTTTAAAAAAATGGTGGATTACTTGGTGTATTGCCCTAGTAGGCCAACATTAAGGTCTTTTATCTAAAAAGACCTCTCAATATGCATTCCTCAATGATGTATATATGTGTATGTGTTTGTATGTGTGTGTACTAAGAGGAGAGGGAAAGTTTGACATTTGCCTTCAGGAAAAATTGTGAATTAACGAAGTAACTGCTAACTGTACAGGATAACTTTATTTGAAATTTGTAGTGGCGAGGACCTTAAGCTATCTAATGGTCAATTTACTTCACTTACCAATAAAAGCAAGATCATGTCTTCCCGTATTGGCCAATTTCTGGTTTCTAATGCATAAGTTAATAGCTTCATTAATCTGTTTCAAGAGGTGTTGCAAAGACTTCTACGTAGAAGAAACTGGTTTCTAGGCAGTTTTGTCAAGCAGAAAAATCACCAGCGATGAAGGCTGGTCTCGGGCATAGTGTTGCCGGCAATGTAGGTCGTTCTCTAGTTGCAGTGCAGCTGGAAGGAGGCACTAGGCTTGAAGGGCAACTGGTGCACAATTGGTCTATGTGCGGCTGACTCATGTGTTGCTGGTTGTGCATGCTGCTGGCTATGTACAATTGGCTGTCTGCATCTTGTCTGTACATGTAGCTACCTGTGCATTATTAGTTGTGCATAGATTGGCTGTGCATTGATAGCAATGAAGGGTGGCTGGCGCTTCCGAGTGGCCAACAATAAGGTAGGCAAGGAGGATCACCAGCTAAAAGGTCAATTGGTACAATCGGGGTAGTGTTTTACAGGAATAAAGGCCAATTAAAATTTGAATAGAAAGAGAAAAAAGTTACTTGTTTACAGCTAATACCATATGGAAGAATTTATTTTTTTTAATTGATGAATAATATAATATATGCATCATTAACACTAAAGTGTAAATTCATTTATTATCAACTTCTTCATGTTGTAATCAACGATAACTATCTTCCCATGAATGGAAACCTTGTATAATACATTGTAGACATCCATATGAAAGATACACTAGAGAAAATATTCTTTCACTCAGGTTTTACTATTCCTTAAACATTCTTCTCGTCCTTCTTTGCTTAATTTGAGAATGGGAGATGCTTCTCATTTTATATCAGACAAATTATGTCCACCCCTTGAGAATTGCTATAGTAAAACCAAACATACTAACAAAATTCAACAAAAAAATCCTTACAAAATATCATAGACTTTATCCCCCACTGTTAAATTTGATTGTTAAAACTCACTGCTGTATTTAAGTACAACAATGGATTGCCAATCCCTACAATCATGAATTGGATTTTTCACCTTTTATACACTATTTATAGTTTCTACTTCTCCATGCTGTGTCGCCTTTTATATACTATTTATTATTTTCTACTTCCCTACTATTAATAATTTTCAAATCCCTTTTCATCATAATATATAAAATCATTTGCTATAACTAGTTCAATAGTTATCTACATTCCCTTCTTGTTAAGTAAAAAGCTTATTTTTAGAGAACTGAAAGCATAATGCATTTGCAGTTTATTGTTATCTTTGATATTCACTCACACTGAACAAGTGTACGTGTGCTTGAATTAAATTAACTACAATTAAAAAAATACATACACTTAATGTAATGAGGTGAAATCTTGGAAGGAAATAAACAAGTTTACTTACAGTCGCTGTCCAAGGTATCTCCATGAAGTTTTCTTTAGTTTCCTGCGGATATCCAACAAAACAGATTCCTGCGCATATTGCCACCAAAGTTTCTGCCAACCGTTTGGTTTTTTCACTAAAGAACTAGAACTGGGACGATATCGTCCAAACTGCATTATTTCATACCATGGTAATCAACCACTAGTAAGAACTCCACATATTTAAGCTGGAACAGGATCTTCAGTTAGGCATTTTTTGGAGGATGAGAATGAAGATAATTAATTAAAGTTTTTATCCTCCAAGAAAACAAGTCGACCAATGCTCTCTAGAAATTATATTTTGAAGAAGAAAAAACATGTTCAGAAGAAGCAATCTTGACATGAAACTTCAATAATTTTTATCTTGAAAACAGTGGAGAAAATTCTAATACAACTATTTCTTAATAGAGGAACAAGTGCACTGTAATCAAGCCTCCCATGAAGTGCCACTGAAGAACAAAATAGACAGAGATGTCTTCTTTACAGATGTCTTATTTACACAAGAAACTTGAGAGTATGGAATATTCAGAGGGAGGATAAGGGATCATCCCGTACAATAGGGAGAAAAAAGAACATATAAGAAAATTTATTCAATCCAAAAGATTAGCCAATCTCTTTGCACAATAGAAAATGAAATCCTCTAAAAGACAATGAGCTGTACTTCAAGGTACACAAAAAGAAAAATAAATACATCCCTCTTAGTTCAACATAACACTTCCAGAATCCTTCTATTTCATACTAAAGAACTCCAATTAATGCCTTCTTCTAAATATCCTTCAAGTTGAATCCACCCACCATCAATTTTTTCAAGAGAACAATACTATTATAATCAAAGGCAACAAGGGCATGCCACCAGTGTGTATGAAAAGGAAGAAATAAATTTTCAGCAAAATTATCAATGAGGTTCCCTGAATCTTCTTTGTTTAGAAGCAAATGACCTTTAAGCAAAATTGTTTTTTTCCCTCGACTGCCTAAATGTCAACCTCTTAACAAAGGATATAATTTACCCTTATACTTTTTAACTTAATTTACTTTCTTTTTAACACCATTATTTACTTCCTCTTTAATAATCACTCTTTAATTCTTTAGAAAAAAAATAATAATAATCACACTCTTTAACCCAATTTTCTTCTTCTTAAACACTCTAAATTATTTCCTCTATTAACACTCCCCCTCAAGATGGGGGAATAAATTTTGTCTATCCTCAGCTTGTCAGTACGAGTTCGGAATGACGGATCGCTTATGTCCTTCCATTAGCACGTCTACCAGTTAAGAATTTATGAGCATGTATGGAATATATATTAGACTGTTGTCAAATTTTTCTTTGATAATATGTTTGTCAATCTTGACGCGTTTGGTCTTGTTGTATTACCTACTTCTTTAATTCTGAATTCTTTTGGTAGATACTATTTTATTTTTAGTTATTACTTTTTATCATTTCCTATTACAATGATGTCATCAATATCTATTAAGAAAATCGTAACTATCTCTATTTTTTAGTATTTGATGAATAGAGTGTAATCTCTTTGAGTTTGCTTAAATCTCATATCTACCATCATTTTTGTGAACCTACTAAACTATGCTCTTGCTGAATGTCCGAGTCCATAAAGTGTCTTCTTTATTTTAGATATGTTATTTGCTCCCACTCTTTGTAAAAGTTCAAAGGGATATCCAAGTAGATTTCTTCTTCCAAATCTTAATACATGAATGCATTTTTTTCCATTAAATTATTATAATCATCAATCAAAATGGGCAGCTAATGATAATAAAATTTGGATAGTGTTCATCTTGACTAGTAGTGCGAATGTCTCCTCGTAATCTATCATATATGTCAATGTCAGGTCTTTTTCCGCTAGTCTCACTTTATACCTCCCGATTGTCTCATTTGTTTTATACTTGTTAAGAAAACTCATTTGTATCCCCTCAATTTCTTACCTTTGGATAGACTCATCAATTCTCTCAAGTCTAGTTTTTTTCAAAGTATCTGTATTTTTGTACTCATAGTATTTTTCCTTTTTTCACATAACAATGTCTCAAATATTATTCTATGATATACTCCTTACTCAAACTTGCGAATAAATTTTTATAGGCCAACAAGCACTTATCAAATGACAAATTACAAGATTGGATAGAGAAGATGTTTAGTGCATTCCCTTGTATCTTTCCAAAATACAATAGGTACATAATTATTAAAGAATTGTATAAGTTTTCTTGAACTTACTCAATTCTTATATCAATGTCAAATTCTTGAACCGATTTTGGCTCAACACTTGGCATCTTCCTCCTTGTATACACTTCAGAAAATCTAAGGTCTAGTATGATCTCTTGAGAAGATGAATTTTGAAGGTTTTCTTGTGGTGATGAGTTTTCTAACGAGTTTTAAACGTTCTCATATGGTTAAGGTCTTGAGGTGTGTGACAAACGTAGTAGGTTAAAACTCATTAGATATTCTATTTTCTTATGTTCCAATATAGCTACTCGAAGATAAGGTTGGAATAAATAGAATTCTCATTCAACAAATGTGACGTTTCTAGATAAATAAAAATTTGAGTTGACTGATAATAATATTTTTATTAGTTTTGAGAGAATATGAATCCTACAAGTACACATTTTATGGTCCAAAGATCAAGTTTCTCTTTCTGGCAGAAATGAGTACAAACAAAGACGACACACCTAAACATCTAAGGGACCAAATAGTTTCTGACACTTATCGTTGGGTAAAATTGTTGAAATGTTCTAAGAGAATTTTTGAAGTCAAGAATACTTGTATGCAAGCGATTAATAATATGGGTGGCAGTAAGGCGGCTTAGCTCCAATATTAGTTTGGCACATTGTTTTGGGAAAAAAACTGACTATTTTTATATTCTACTACTCTGTCTTATTATGGAGCGTGGACTTATAGGATGATTCATGAAGAATGCTTTCTGATTGAAGAATGATGAATACGTGTGATTACAAAAATCTTTTGCATTGTTGGTACATAATTATTTGAATGACGTTTCTAATTGAATTTTTATTATATTGCATAAATAAGATATAATATGATTAACATCACATTTGCCTTTAAGTAAAAACATTCAGGTGACTCTAGTGCAATTATCAATAAATAACTCAAACCATTGAGTCCCAAAAATATCAGGTGTGTGAGATAATCCTTAAATATAACTGCAAGTTAACAAAAATGAAGTTGAACTTCTTTTATTATTAATAGAAAATGTCATATGTTTATATTTCGCAAATTCATAAA